TCTGGATTTATGCAACCAATGTTTATTCCAGAATGGAAGTGGGATAGTATTTCTATGGATTTTGTATCTGGGTTGCCGAGGACTCCTATGAATTGTGAAGCAATATGGGTCGTTGTGGATAGATTGACTAAGTCTGCTCATTTTATACCAGTGCGAATGGATTACTCAATGGAGAGATTGGCACAGTTATATATTGAGAAAATAGTGAGTTTGCATGGAGTTCCTTCTAGTATTGTGTCAGATAGAGATCCGAGGTTCACTTCGAAATTTTGGGAAGGATTGCAGAAGGCTTTGGGTACTAAGTTGAAATTGAGTTCAGCTTACCATCCCCAGACTGATGGACAGACGGAGAGGACGATTCAATCGTTGGAAGATTTATTGCGTGCTTGTGTTTTAGAGCAGGGTGGAGCTTGGGATAGCTATTTGCCATTGATTGAGTTTACTTATAACAATAGTTACCATTCGAGTATTGGTATGGCTCCGTTTGAGGCATTGTATGGTAGACGGTGTAGAACACCTTTGTGTTGGTATGAATCTGGAGAGAGTTCGGTAGTTGGGCCAGAGATTGTTCAGCAGACTACTGAAAAGATCAAATTGATTCAAGAGAAGATGAGAGCTTCTCAGAGTCGTCAGAAAAGTTATCATGATAAGAGGAGAAAGAATTTAGAATTCAGTGCTGGAGATCATGTGTTTATGAGAGTTACTCCGATGACGGGTATTGGTCGGGCGTTGAAGTCTAAGAAGTTGACTCCGCATTTTATTGGTCCGTTTCAGATTACGGAAAGAGTTGGAGAAGTTGCTTATCGTATTGCTTTACCTCCGAGACTTGCGAATTTGCACGATGTTTTTCATGTTTCTCAGTTGAGGAGATACATTCCAGACCCATCTCATGTAATCCAAATAGATGATGTACAGGTAAGAGATAACCTGACAGTAGAAGCATTGCCTATGAGGATAGAAGATCGGGAAGTGAAACAGTTAAGAGGTAAAGAGATAGCATTAGTGAAGGTTGCTTGGGGAGGTCCAGCAGATGGAAATATCACTTGGGAGCTGGAGAGCCAGATGAAAGAGGCTTATCCGGAACTGTTCGTCTAAGGTATGTTTTCGAGGACGAAAACTCTTTTAGTGGGGGAGAGTTGTAACACCCCGTTTTCAATTAATTGATTTATTTAAATTTGGGAATTTATTTTATTAGAATTAATAAAATAAAAAGAATTATTTATTTTGGAGTATTTGAGGAAAATAAAAGAAATAAGGAATATTGGGATTTTTATGTTATTGGGCTTAGATGTTGTTAGTAAAGAGTGGGGGTGTAGAGAAATAAAGTTATGTTTGGGACTTAGGCCATTTTCTCATTTTTGGTTTTCACGTAAGAACAGAAGTTGGAATTTGGGAAAATAGAGCTCTGAAGAACGGAGAACGAAGAACCTCGCTCAAGAACTCAAAGCTGCTAATTGATAAGGTAAGGGGGGCTATAACTCGAATTACCTTTGTTTATGGGTTTATGTACGGTTGATTCGGGTAATTGTAGGGAAACCCCAATTGTTAGATGTTTCTAGGGATCGATACCCTTAGGATCGAACCTTGTTAGAAAAGGGTCAGGTTCCCAAATGTCATGAATCGATTAGGAATTTTAGGTCCCAAATGGTGAATTGGGAGTATATATAATGATCGTGAATTTACCTTGGAAGTTATAGGGATAACCTCAGTGTCAGTAGATTTCCCCAAAGGGACGGTTAATCCCCGATTAAGGTTACTATAATGATTGTTGGTATTTTGGATATGGTGGGGTTGTTGTGAATTGTACAAACCTGATGTCGTTAGGTACCGAATTATGCGTTTGGCGGGCGTTTTCCCGCGTTTGGACTGCTGTTTCTGAGCTGCTGCAGGTTCAGGAAAATCCTGTTACGCGCTCAGCAACACGGGCCGTGTTGCACAACACGGGTGCCCGTGTTGCTCTTCTGTGTTGGGAGATGGTGTGCTCTGGTTGCACGACACGGGCCGTGTTGCACAACACGGGCACCCGTGTCAGATCCCCTGTACTGATAAAAATAAAATGTGCATTTTTCTGGACGTGCTGCACAACACGGGCCGTGTTGCACAACACGGGCACCCGTGTTGCTCGGCTGTGATGATTTTCTGAATTTTTGGTTTCAGTGTTTTGATGTTGGATTTTTATTGCCATGCTTTTAGATATGTTATCGAGCATGAATTATGATATAATTGATGTGATTGGTTGATGTTTGAATAGTATGCTGAGTGATTACATGCTATTCGTAACTTGATATGATTGATGTTTAAATGGTATGCTGAGTGGTTACATGCTATTTCATATCATGTTATGTTTGATATTGTTGATGTGCATGATATGTTGATCGATGTTCATAGTATGCTGAGTGTTACATACTTACATATCATGTTGCATTTGTTAATTCCCATTGTGTGGAATTAACATGGTGGCCAATATACGTGTCCGCGATTTAATGGAACGTTGAGGTGGTAGCCGTGTCCGCGATATAATGGAACGGTGAGTTATCCGTGACCCGAGATTTAATGGGGCGGTGAAGTGGTACCACATGCATGGGTGTGTTGCATTACTCGAATATAACATGAATGGATGATTTTTCCAATGTTATATTTGATTGTCTGTATGCATGTATGATTTGATAAATGGTTGATGATGTTTTGATGAATATTTGCAAAAATGAAAGGCAATATGTCATGGATATATGAATTGTAAAGGTTTTGTAAACTATGAAATATGCTAATTATTGGGTGATGCTTATGATTTCGTGAATTGATTGTTATGAATGTATAACCAAATGTATATTTGAGAAGCTCACCCTTACTGTTGAATATTTCAGATTGAGGAGCTTCGCTCAGGTGCTTGGCGAAGGCTTATCGTGTCTAGTTTAGTTTCGTTTTAGTATGTCCGGGTCATGCTCTGATAGTTGTAACTCCGGGAACGTTTGGTTGTCGAGCTGCTTTAGTCAGACTCGTTTATTTTCTTTTAATTGTTATAATATGACGTTGACTTTTCCAGGTGTTAATCCCTGATGATTTTGGAAAAATATTATAACATTTGATTTTATTAAATAAATTATTCCGCTGTGTAGACATGTATGAGTTACCACTAAAATTATGCATGACAGGAATTTATTTTATTTAAAGAGAATTGTAGCATTCCTCGATTATTACATGTACTCTGAGTTTATAATTTTTAATATTGCGAAAATTTATTCGGGGTTTTTAGAGGGTGTTACAGAAGACGGGTTCATCGAGTTCCTTCTCACATTATTTTGCGATTATTTAGCCATATCACAATAATAATCTCAAGAAAAAGAAGGCAACATGTCAGAGAAAAGGGGTAACCGCTCAAGAGTGAAAAGAAGAGAGAGGTGTAAAAAAGAAGTGACTCTAGTTCTTCATATACTTATGTATTGACATTATAAAAGAAAGGTGTCTTGTCAACGATCACATTTCTCGCACGTAACACTCATCTATTTAAGTTCTCAATAATGGTCATAATTACTCTTTTGAATAAATGTTTGACGTTCTAAGCAGCAAAAGCATGAAGAAGGGTGGTCGGCAGGCAAAAATGAAATTCTTTGATCCTCATCTTGATATTCAAGCGCGAGAACAGGAAGGGCAATTGTGGGCAAGTCACACCCCACTCTATTTGACCACCATGGGATGAAACACTCCGCTCCAAAAACGTCATAGTTGCCTGCTTAATCACACTTTTAGAATCTTCTCCTGACTACTGGATTATCATGCACCTCATTGTAAGAGATTCATGCCTCAAGTACATCCAACAGTCCTCCATATTCCACACCTGAAAGATAACCAAACAGATATTCCTCTTCCCTATATATAGAGAAGGACGCCATTTGATAACAAGTACGAACACAATTTGAATACTATGTACTCTTTCACATGTTGACTTGAACGTTGGGGTGCTAACCTTGCAGGTACACTCCTGCTCCACCACATTAGAAGCTCTACTCCGCCGCAACTTTCGCTTCTCACTCAATTTCTGATTCTCGAACGAAACAATTTTCAAATTTATATATTTTTTAAATTTAAATTTTAATATTTATAAAAATATTGAATAGAAAATCAACAATTTTTTTATATCAGTTAATAATAATAATCTTACAATCAAGTTAAAAAAACAACATCCTAAAAAATTGTTCAAATTAAATAATTACACTTCACGTTAATAATTATAATATCTTTAAATGGACAATTATTATTATTATTATAATTTATTATTTAAATAGATAATTATTATTATTACTATTATTATAATTTATTATTTATGAAGGCCTGGTTTATAAATGAGTTTACATTCAAGAAGATTGTTATTTAATGCTTTATTAATGGTCAGCTTGCAATTCTTATACAAAAGTTATTTATGAGAATCTGATATTAAAATTCACATATATATATATTTTTTGTTTCAAATTTTAATAAATAATTTTTGAATATTTTTTATTTTATTTTTAAGAATATAATTTTTTCATGAGCTTCTCTATTTTTATTTTCATGTCAAATGATGAGAATCTTACATTCTCGTAAGAGTATAAAATAATCAACTATAACTTCTCATATTCATATTATTTTAATACATTTATTTTTAATTTTTAAAATTTAATTAAAATAAAATCTAAAAATATTCCTTAGAAGTATATTTATTTTCCAAATAAAGTTCATGGTAATAATATTCCTAAAAATAAAATTTTAATCTCTCAAACAATGACACCTTAAAATTCAAACTACTCTTTTTCCACCGTGATCACATGATAAAATTGCAATTCAACACATTAGTTTAATTTGCCCACAAACCATGAAATAAAAAGAATTGTCGAATCAAACCGAAGTTAAATTAACTATGAAAGACAAAGCGTATGACTATAACTCAGGTCAAGTTTTCCTTAACTACCCTATTTAGGTAGTGGGACTCAACCGTTTCATTCTTACTCAACAAAATTAACATCCGAAATCCCAATTTTGTCCAAGCAGTCACAACCAACCAAACACTTTTAAAAAAAGTCAACAAGGGCAATCTCGTCATCACCCACCAAAACCCCTCTCCAAAACCCAGCCACTCTTATACAATCACAAAAAGCCACAAACCCATTAATTTCCATTTCATTTCCTTATTATTTTTCCCTTTCCATCACACAATTTCCATTTCATGCAATCGCAAACTAACTCAATACAAAACCCAAATTTCCACACTCACTCTCTTCACTCTCTTCACTCTCTCTCATGCGATTTCTCTTTCTCTCTCATGCGATTTCTCTTCAACACGATCAAAACCTACCACTCGGTAACCAATTTCCTTCGCTCAATTCTTCTGCATTTCCGTTTCATGCTAAAACGCCACGATCGCTGTCGTTTTCAGTACTGATTTCCTGTTTACACTTCTCATTTCCGTTGTTTAGGGTTTTTCAAACACGCACTTTCTACTCTACTAGGTGCTTGTTTTCGCTTTTGATTGTTGTGCATTTCTCTTTCATGCAAAGATGATAGGATCTAATTCGTGTTTTGGAGCTGATTCTGTGTTTTTTGTTCTTATTTTGTCTTGTGTTTTTGTTTTGTTGTTTTAGGGTTTTATGTTCACCTTGCTGTCACGGTCTAACTTAACACGGATTTACCTTTGAGGTGGGAAATGTTGCATTGCATGCTTATTACTGTCTTTTTTTGTTTATGTGTGTTTTGATTTTGGTTTGATTTTACCTTGAATTGCTCTTTTTTCTATGATCATTTTGGGTATTTTCTCGAAAACTTCACCTGTCATAAGCTTTTGTGTAATTGTTTATTTTGTTTTGTTTTTTGAATTCTTCTAACCGGTTTGAAATGCAGGTGAATGTGAGTGGTTTTTTCTTTTTCATTTTAGTGAAAAATGATTCAATGTAGTTGGGGGCTCTGTAGCACTCACACCTATGAAAAAAGATGTGACCGAAACTGACGCGCACACTTGTTAATATGTTTAATTTATTTATTTTTTCAAATTATTACCTGTCAAATTAAATACACTACAGGAACAATCCTTGTCTTTTGTCAAAAAACACTGGTTATGGGCGGATGTGTGATGAACTGATTGTTTCACTCTAGTGCTCTTAGGGTTACCGAACTTCTGTTTAAGAATGGTGGTATTGCCAATTTGTCAATGTGCTTGATTTGAAATTGAAATATAAACTTTGCGATATATGATATCTAGTCTTCCTTTCAAACATTTGTGGTGGTCAATCATTATGGATTATGGACATGTTAGTCAGATGTATTTGTTTTTATGCTGTCTTTTGAGATTGGCTTAATTCTGTTATTGGCTTAATTCTGTTAAGTGGAATACGCAAATAAAAGTTAGAATCACTTTTCCAGTATTTTTCTGTTCTGTTGTTTTTTTTATGCTTTAGTTCTGTTGAAATTGTCGAGGTTTACAAATAAGGCCTCATAATTATGAGTTATCTGTTGGCAGGTGCTGTAGTTTACCAAGGTAGTGATGGAAGATAATCCTGCCTCAAGTCTCATGGAAGGGAAGGTTGTTGGGATCCGATTCAGTATGGCTACACGCCAGGAAATTGTAAGCACGTAATGTATTTATTTTCTTTTTCCTGTTGGATTGCATGATTTTCAGATAGATGCATCTTTACTGGGTTATAAACTTTCATAGCTCGTAGATAGATGCTTATTGAAACTTATTTTAAGCCTGACTAGAAACTTTCATAGCGAGAAATTTTGGTTTTTGTATTAACTTTTGCGAACTCAAAACAGAAAAAGTTGTATTCTGTGGGTGTTTATGTATGCATATATTGCTGCTTACTAGTCAGGCTTTTGGTTTTTATTCTTATCAGCAAAAGAAGTTTCTGATTACAGTATTTGTTACTGCTTGGCTTTGTTATGGTGTTTTGGTCTTTTCAATATTTTACTAGATTTAATAAATGCATTGGAAATTTCCTGTTTTTTTGTTGATAGAGTACTGCCTCGATTAGTGATTCCCAAATTAGCCATGCTAGCCAGCTGGGAAATCCATTCCTTGGGCTTCCACTTGAGTTTGGACGATGTGAATCTTGTGGCACTTCTGAAGCAGGGAAATGTGAAGGTATTTTATTTGATCATTTTTTCTATTGTCATTTTGATGGAAAAATGTTGCAGTATATTTCAAAGAAATGGGGCTGACTCAATATTACTTTTCAGGCCACTTTGGATATATTGAACTACCAGTTCCGATTTTCCATCCTAGTCATGTTACTGAGTTGAAGCGAATATTGAGCCTGGTCTGCTTAAACTGCTTAAAACTGAAGAAAACCAAGGTATCGCTGAAAAGGAATCTGTACACACAGTTCTTTAGCTTTTTAATAGTTTGTGAGTGATATTAAGTGGTAGATTTTTGGTTTTCACAAAGACATGACTTGTTAAATGAGGTTGGGTTCATTAATTATCTTGTCCTAAATTGTATAGTAAATCCAGCTATCATGCACCTTGTGTGTTAGACTTAGATACAAGAAGGATACAACCTTTGTTTTATTCCAGACTCTTAGACAGTTGAAACTGCCTATTTTTTATCTAGACTCTATCTATTTCAGATTGCCGTGGTAGAGGTAGATCAGTTTTATCATTTTCAGTATCAGGGAATATTCAGTTTTCTCTCAAACTCTCTAATACTGGCTCACAACCTTTCAGATTCCTTCTTCAGGCAGTGGTTTTGCACAGAGAGTAGTGGCTCCTTGTTGTGAGGTTAGTATGAACAAATCATATGATATCCTTTTTGGTGATCAATTCTTGTCTCCTAATATTTTATTTTATTAAATTTTAATTTGATTTTTTTAAAATGAAAATTCATGTATGAGAAGTGTGAAATTTTTAAAATATTGTTATTATTTGTTGGCATGCACATGCATGTCATATGCCAAGTTTGTCGTGTATATAGCTGACCTGGGAACCATTGTTCACAACTTCAACCACTACTAGGATCTTGACTTTTTTTATTAGAGTTATGGTTTATGAAACTGTCAAGAGACACCAGTGGTGTTCATTATAAATGTTGAAGAAGTGCTGAAAAGTATGAACTATGTTTAGAAATAAATTGGGACAGGTCTATAGAGCCAGTACTTTGGCAAACACTCACCAGAACTGTTGGTAACACATTTGAAATTGCCAAGATAGGACTTTATTTTTCTTTCTTTGGTTTGCTTATTTATGGTTTATTCCGTGGTTGTCTACTTTTGCTTTTTTATTTGTTGGCTAAAACTGCTTTTTCTATTATCATACTTTGTTACATATGTGAATTTGTTATTTTTAATAAATATTATTTTTGTCCAAGGTTCATGATAGTTATATTTCCCTTTTAGGACAATAATGCCGCAGATGTATCTATTCGGGAGATCAAAACAGCTGACGGGGCTTGTTACTTGGCACTGAAGGTGCCAAAGTCAAAGATGAATGATGGGTTTTGGAGTTTTTTAGAAAAATATGGTTATCGCTATGAGGGTGATCATACTCGAGCTTTGCTTCCTTGTGAGGTGTGGTTTCTACTGGTTTTCACTGTTCTTATTTTGCTTAAAATAGCTATTATCTATTACTTTGGCAGTTGTTTTGAAATATATATTACTCAAGTCACTTTATCTTTGCAGTTATCTTTTTTTGTGCACCAATTTTCAGGCTTTAATTTCTTACTTTTGTATTTTTTATTGCTTCATTGCTGCTTATGTTCTTTTTAATTGAAGCAATCCATATATAGGCTTTGTTCATTGTTTTAAGATAATTGTATTTTTGGTTTATCATTTGCTTGGGGTTGGATATCTTTTTTTTCTCCTTGAACTTCAAGGATATCTGTAGTAGGAAAGTAGTAGTGGCAGGTAATGTGCTAGTCTTGAAAGATTAGGAGGTACTTCACATCCTGGAGCTGTGGGAGACTCTTGTTATACATTCTAATGTTCTTCATCTGTCCGTTTGATCCTGAGACCATATTAATTCAGTTTCAGGGAGAAGAGTGATAGGTGCAACAAATTGGAAGGCGAACCTGAATTATACTGATAATGAATTATGGCTATCTAAGAGAATATAAGCATCTGTTACAGTATTACAATCTCAGAAAATTAAGCTAGAAATTGATAATGAAAAAGTGAAAAGGAAATTTGTATACTCTAATAATATTCAATAAAGTTAATCTCTTTTCTCTCTCTGCTCATTACTTTTTCAAGACAAGTTTCTTTCAATGTCCCATAGATGAGTTGTATTTCTTATTGTTGATTATTCTCTATTTATTAGTGTTGATATATTTTGAGTTCATAACAATATTGGAATTGTTATTTGCTTTTTTCATATGATTGACAATTCTACTCAAAAAGCATGTGATTGACTGTCACATAGGTTTATAATTGATACTTTCAAGCCAATTGTTATATGCTTATTTATTTTTATGTTCTAGTTGAAACTTGTCATTGGATTTATAGTTTATTTGTCATATACCTACCAGGCAATGGAAATTATCAAGAGAATGCCTCAAGAAACCAAGAAGAAACTTGCTGGAAAAGGATATTTTCCTCAAGATGGATATGTTTTGAAATACCTTCCGGTACCACCAAATTGCTTGTCTGTGCCAGTAGTATCAGATGGTGTCAGTATCATGTCTTCGGTGAGCAAATGACTATGTGATTTGTTGCTTGATTATATAATTATTTTGTAGTCCTTCAGAAGGTTATGTATATCTCTCTCTCACATTGCAGGATCCTTCCATGACAGTTCTTAGAAAATTGCTTAGGAAGGTTGAGGTCATTAGAAGTTCTAGATCCGGTGAACCAAACTTTGAGTCTCATCAAGTGGAAGCTAACGACTTGCAATCCGTGGTCGATCAGTATCTTCAAATCAGGGGTACTTCTAAGGCAGCACGTGATATAGAGACACATTATGCGGTCAATAAAGAGCTGAATGAGTCCTCAACAAAAGCATGGTTAGAAAAAATGAGGACTTTATTTATAAGAAAGGGTTCAGGGTTTTCTTCTCGGAATGTGATAACTGGAGATGGCTATAAGAAAATAAATGAAGTAGGAATTCCGCTCGAGGTTGCCCAAAGGATAACATTTGAGGAGAGAGTGAGCATCCATAACATCCACTATTTACAAAAGTTGGTTGATGAAAATTTGTGCTTGACATATAAGGAAGGTTTGTCAACTTACTCACTAAGGGAGGGCTCAAAGGGGCACACTTATCTTAAACCTGGTCAGATAGTGCATCGGAGGATTATGGATGGGGATGTTGTCTTCATCAACAGACCACCTACGACTCACAAACACTCATTGCAAGCGCTTGTAGTGTACATCCATGATGATCACACTGTCAAAATAAATCCTCTAATATGTGGGCCCCTTGGAGCTGATTTTGATGGCGACTGTGTCCATCTCTTTTATCCTCAGTCACTTGCTGCTAAAGCTGAGGTTTTGGAGCTTTTCTCTGTAGAGAAACAACTTCTCAGCTCTCATAGTGGTAATTTGAACCTTCAGTTATCCGCAGATTCATTATTGTCACTCAAGATGCTTGTCAAGAGTTGTTTTTTGGATAAAGCCACGGCAAATCAAATGGCAATGTTTCTCTCACTGCCTTTGCCAATGCCTGCTTTGCTTAATGCCGGTTCTGGTGATTCTTATTGGACATCTATTCAAATGTTGCAGTGTGCTTTGCCTTTCTCCTTTGATTGTACCGGAGGGCGATACTTGATTAGGCAGAGGGAAATCCTAGAATTTGATTTTACTAGAGATGTTTTGCCTTCAATTATAAATGAAATAGCAGCCTCAATTTTTTTTAGCAAGGGTCCTCCGGAGGCACTGAGTTTCTTTGATGTGATCCAGCCCTTTCTGATGGAAAACATATTTTCCTATGGATTTAGTGTTGGGTTACAAGACTTGTCGATATCCAGGGCAGTGAAAAGGGTTATACATAGAAGCATTGGGAAAGTTTCTCCTTTGTTGAATCAGCTGAGGGTCATATACAAAGAGCTAGTGGCTCAACAATTGGAGAAACACATTCAAGATATTGAAATTCCCGTCATAAATTTTGCTTTGAAGTCCACCAAACTTGGAGATTTGATTGACTCAAAGAGTAAGTCGGCTGTTGACAAGGTGGTTCAACAGATTGGCTTTTTAGGCCAACAGCTCTTCGAGAGAGGAAAGTTTTATTCCAAGGGATTGGTTGCGGATGTAGCTTCTCATTTTCACGTGAAGTGTTTCTATGACGGAGATGGTTATCCCTCTGCAGAGTTTGGGCTGCTCAAAGGATGCTTCTTTCATGGCTTAGATCCATATGAAGAATTTGTACATGCAATTGCAACGAGAGAAATAATTGATCGCTCTTCTAGAGGATTGTCTGAACCTGGAACACTATTTAAGAATTTGATGGCCATTCTCCGAGATGTGGTCATTTGCTATGATGGAACTGTGAGAAATGTATGCAGTAATTCCATCATCCAGTTTGAATATGGCATTCAATCTGGAGAGGCAGCCCAGCACTTGTTCCCTGCCGGGGAGCCAGTAGGCGTTTTAGCTGCAACTTCCATGTCAAACCCTGCTTATAAAGCAGTCCTTGATGCTAGTCCTAGCAGCAACTCTTCGTGGGAGTTTATGAAGGTGATAGTTTCTTAGTGAATAATGGGCATCTGTTTCTCATATTTCAGTAATATATTTGTTATATATTTATGCGTTTTATCTTCAGGAAATACTTGTTTGCAAGGTGAACTTTAGGAATGAACCAAATGATCGTCGCCTAATTTTATACTTGAATGATTGTGATTGTGGGAGGAGTTATTGTCGTGAGAATGCTGCATATCTGGTTAAAAATCAATTGAGAAAAGTAAGCCTCAAGGATGCAGCCCTGGATTTCATTGTTGAGTAAGTTTTCTGTCTTGGTTTATTTATATTTTGCTATATTCAGCTTATATCTTTTCTGTTAAAAAAAGCGTATATCTTTTAGTTGGTAAAAATTGTGTTGCTTGAAGTGCTCTGATAACAGTGTTAGGACCAGAACACCACCACAACCACCAACCAAGCTTGGTTCAAACGGCATCATAATGTTCTATCAAAAAACCATACTTCTATCTAGCCCAGTAAAGTAATATTTTATAGTGAATGATATTGGTGATGTTTTATTGAGTTGAAATGAAACAGAAAAGTTACATATGATCACAGGTTGTTTAAGAGCCCGCCCTCTCCCTAATAACCACCAAACTGAAACAAATAACTGAATACCCAAGCGCCCATTTCAATTTCCCTACTCTATTTAATTAGACACAGATGGACAGTTACAACAAAAGGCAAACCGACAAGCAGTGGTAGACATTAATGTTTTTGATTATGCCTCACATAAGTTTGCTTAATTAGAGACCTGTTGCTAACATAGATCAACCATGGTTAATTGATTACTTTGTAACGTAAATCTTAATTTATCTTAACCAATGTTGTCAATTGCACTTATGCCTGTTAACATTTGTTTTTGGGGTTGAGTTCTGGGCTACATCTAATTCCTTCTCTGTAGTTTTGTCTGATTACAATTTGTGTCGACCGGCTAGAAAAAATGTTTATGCTGGCCACTTTTTTGGTCCATGACTAATTTTTAATGGCCAAGCTTTTAGACAGGTTCCAGGAATGGTTGTCTCTCTAATATGTTCCTTTCCTTTGGACAAATAGCTATTTAATCTTGAAGCATGCATGGCTTATCCTTAGTTTCTGGTGATATCCATTCCTCATATGTAGTTTTCTGATGTACTTGCTTATGTACTCCGTATACTGTTGGGGGTAAAAAACATTTTGCGTTAATTGAACTACTTCTATTTTATTTTTTATTTGAAAAGTTGTATTTATGTTCAATTTTATTCATGTGGGGCACCTGTCTCATCTGCAGATACCAGCAGCAGCGAAGACGCAATGATAATTCTGAAGATGCAGGTCTTGTTGGTCATATTCATCTGGATGAGGTGATTGATTTTTTAAGAACATTTTTAGACTTGATGCTGGCATGTGCCTATGTCATGCAAATAGTATGATTTTAAAATTTTATAATCAGACTCTCTAGAGCATTTTTCACGACTCTGCATTTTATGTTTTGTTTTCTTTATCAGATATGCAGTGGGGGTCGGAAAGTGCTTTTAGAAACTATTCCTAATCATTTTCGTCTTTCTTTGATCCTAAGAGATTTTTATAATTTCCTTCATATTTTTTTATAAAATGGTAGTGAGCTGAAGTATGCCTAATTGATGACTCTTCTTGTTTTCTAGATAGATTAAATTAACATTTTGTTGATATGTAACTGTAAAAGCATGCAATAACTTGTTTGAAAATGTTAATTTTTGTTAAAAAATTTAATACTTGAAAATATTGAAATATTTATTTTTAATATTTGATTTTGAATGTGTTTACCAATCCTATTATATTTCTCTACAGATAAGTATGCATGCATATATTCTATAATTTTGACCACATTTTGATATCCTATTAATTTGATACTAGGGTCTAGACCTACTCTAACCTCTGTTTTACTTGATTTTGAGATAACCTGCCTGTTTGAGATAACCTTTGGAAGTACAAAACGAACATAAGATTAAGAATAATTCATGGCAGATGGTTCTTTCTTGTTAGAAGTAGAACAACACAGGTTCCATTACCTAAACTGGTCAATTTGGAACTAGTTTTATTAAAAGGAGTTTGTGGTTAGCAGAAGAAAACCTTCAGTGATGCAAGTGGTGAAGATATTACTCTATTGGATTTACTAGAAGTATGTTTTTTTATAGAGCCTTATAGTGATTTTGACGGGGGGTTTCGGGAAACTGTCGAGTTGTATGGTTTGTGCCAGCTTGATTGTTAGTCTTGTAAAATAAGCTGGTCAGGCCGCTCACATATGCAGAAACTGATCTGAGCTGAGTTTAATAACATAGGTTGATAGTGGAGGTTCAAAACTATATGTTAATGATACTGAGAAATAAATAAAACATTAATGTATAAGATGCTTGATTGTATTAAATTTAAATATATTAAATTATAATACATGTAATTTTCTATTCTTTCATTTGGGGTAACTGTATTTTTCATCTTAGTATAATTGTCATTTTTTGTGTTAATATACTCTTGCTTACTGATTTATCATTTTGAGCAGGCGATGTTAGAGAAGCTGAAGATCAATATGATTGATGTTTACCAAAAATGCCAAGAGAGACTTAATTCCTTTAGTCGGAAGAAGAAACTCTTCCCAGTTTTTAAGAGAACTGAATTATTTTTCAGGTTAATTTTTAGTTCTGCCATATACATTTGATATACTGCTATAAATTCTTAATTTTCTTACTTGAATTAATTAATTGCTTTAGATATGATACATAGTTGTAGTTATATGTGCTCATTGATGTTCCTTTTAGTCTCAAACCAATGAGGCATATTGTAGTTGGGGAAGATTTTTTATATGACAAGATGTTCAGTGTCTCTTGTATGGCTTTCAAGTTTGTTCTCCTTTTTGTTTTTATCATTTCCTTTAATTTTTGTGTCTAAACTCATATCACACTACTTGTATTTATAACTGTTTCAATATACTTTGCATGCCTAATGAATAAGCACTAACCTAGAATATTTTATGCTCTAAGGATACTGACAACCAATCTAGGAGGTTTAACAATTAAAGAAATATCTGAAGGTTTACATGATTTTAATACTCCTCCTCAAGCTGGAGCCAAGCTTGTTACAAATAGAGTTTCCCCGAGGTCCTCTAGTAAATATGTTAAGCTAATTGATCATTTGAACCAACAAAATCAGTTATGATTTCTCCAGAAAGAACCTTATCTCTTACAAAGCGACAATTATTCACTATGTGCTTAGCTCTTTCATAAAAAATCGGGTTGGAGGCGATATGTAGTGCAGCTTGGTTGTCACAAATTAGTTTCATAGCCTTGGCGTCTCCTAATTTAAGTTGTCGGAGTAATTTCTTAGCCATGTGAGTTCACAAGCTTTGAGGATCACATCTCCCCAAAAAACAATCACATGCTTTTCTCTTAGCATTATAATCACATGCTTTTCTTCTGACCATTGCAAGCTGCATTAGTCTTTAATTTTGTTTCTGTTAACATGCAATTTGTTTGCAGTTTAAAACTAACCTTGTATATTTTCTTTATTTCCAGTGAATCTTGTTCTTCTCCCAATTATTCTGCACCTTGTGTAACGTTTGTTTGGCCGGATGGCAATGATTTAGACCATACCACTAAAGTCCTTGCTGACTTGATCTGCCCAGCTTTGTTAGATGCAATAATCCAAGGTATTTTCTTTTTGACTCATATTTCAACTAAGAAATATAAATCTGCTGTTAAATTGATATATAGGGTTTAAATAAGGAAGAATAAAAAAGATGTTTTACGTAATACTGGATTTCATTAATACCTCCTTGTTATACTGATAGAAACTGCTAATGGAATGGAAAATTGAAAGGGAAAAAGATGAAAAAACTCTGATGCACTTGTATTGTATCTACTATTTACTGAGTAAAATGTAAACACAGCAATTGGGAAATTCCTACTGCCAAGAGCTAGGCTCCTTCAAAAGCACCCACACACACTCTGCCATAACAAACACAATGATACCGCCTCTCTCCTCCCTCATCATTCCTTATAACCAATTTCCCCTCACACCGTTCATCCCTCATACTCCCACTCTCTCTCTTTGCCACACTCTCTCCTACCTCATCAATCGTTATAACCAGATTCCCCTCGCACGGTTCATCCCTCATACTCCCCATCTCTCTCTATGTCACATGTCCTCTCCCTTTCTTACACCATTCTATTCTTCCTCACATATACTCTCCACACCCTGGGCCTGGACTGCTTTTGATTTAATAACTCATTTGGACCTCCCTCGGCTTTGTCAGCATCAACGGCCCTATCATATACTATGAAATGCACCTCTATCTATATTCCAATAATGAGTAATCCCATCCAATTGAAACTCACTAATAGCAATAAGATTCGAAACTGTAATATGCCTGCACTCCCTATTCGAAAAATTCAAGGCCTGTGTTTGGTTTGTTATGTTATCAGTCAGAGGCTTAGGCATGACCAGACTTTCTGAATATTTTATCTGACACGTTAGTCTATTTAAAGGTCTTTCATCAGACTCAATTCTAAGTAGGTTAAAGATCTAATAGACCGGTGAGGATAAAATATATGCATGAGTTAGGTGTGGAAATAAACTAGGCTAGACTAGCTTTCTTGGACCAAGACGGTCATGTTTAGTAGATGTCACTTTTAATGTCTTAATCTTAAAAGGCATTTATAAGTCTCTTCTAAGCATATTTTTCAATAAGGCCTTTAAGTAGGTTATAAGTTTACCACCAAATAAACTTATATGCTCAAGTCTTTTATGATAGTCGTAAATCTCTAGAGTGGTTAGTAGTAAGTATATGATTCTAACACATTATGAAAAATCTTATAATATTATTTGATGCTCAACCCACTGTCTCCTCGTTAGTGTTGGTCGTGATGCTCCACTGTATCTTATCAATGCAATGCAAGTATTAGAGTATAGTAGCAGCTCTGCAACTGTTTGCATATAATTAGCAAAACAAAATTAAAGTAAGAAAGGAATTAGTTAGAAAGCTTTATAAAGCTCTAGAAGGTTGTTACAACAACCATGTGCTGAGCTGTAACTGAGTATAACTAACTCATTTCAGACTCAACCAATTATAAATAGCAGTTGCCTATTTCATTGTAAAACCAACATTCATTTTCTGTTAATTCATAACAGAATGATAAACAGAATTCTCTCTTCTCTCAACTCTTACTAAATCTATATGAACAATTCTTCATCCCCTCCACTTTTCTATTAGCAAATTTGATTCACAATATTCTCTGTATTGTTCAAATGTTGCTCAGTTAGTCGCATCTTCACCTTGCATTAAGTACTTGCATGCTTTACGATTATGTATTTTTTCACTGCATGAAGCTAGTTCTCAAATTGAAACCATCTCCGATATAAGTTTTATTCATCAACTAGTATCCGAAGAGATCAAAAGACAAAAAAAATGTAGGTAATGAAAAGTAAAGGTCATGTAGTCTTTATTGCAACATCCTCCATGTCAGGGTAACCTGAGGTACTAGCAATTGAGGATAACTCAAGAATTGCCTAACCTCTTCTGAGTCTCAATAACGAAATGACTATCTCTCCATTCTTTTGATTTATATACATCATGACTCATCACTAACATTTCGTGATTACAAACTAGTGAGTGATATTTTTGCACTGTCAATTTCATATTCATATTCTCTTTAAGATGTAAATTGCTTTCAACTTTCTTTCCTGTCCGATATGTATTTGGGTTAACCCTGGCACATACACATGGGTTCGTAACCAGTCCAATCTTCTACTCTAGTATATATCTTACATATATTTGTTAATAATCTTTCTATTTTTGGCGTAAGCAGGAGACCCTCGTATCAGCTCTGCAAATATAATTTGGGTTAATCCTGGCTCGACCACATGGGTCCGAAACCCGTCCAAAACTTCTAATGGTGAGTTAGCACTGGACGTCATTCTTGAGAAGGAAGCTGTTAAACAAAGTGGTGATGCTTGGAGGATTGTACTCGATTCCTGCCTTCCTGTTCTTCATTTGATTGATACCAGGCGTTCCGTTACTTATGCTATTAAGCAAATTCAAGAATTACTGGGAATATCATGTACTTTTGATCAAGTGATTCAGGTAAACTTCTTCATATATTTTGTATTTGTGTTGAAGTATGAGCTGTCTGCTTTTCTTCTTGTGAACAAGCATCTTTAGTAAACATAAAGGTGCTTTACTTTCAGGTTCAAATCTCCATTGTAAATCAGCTACATGTCGTTTCCGGTTTTTTCTTTATAGTCGAAGCTGCTTATTTTCTCATCAATTACTATGTGAAAGTGCATTTTCCCTCCCTTTGCCATGTGACTAGGAATCAGACTCTTCGGTGACGTATAGTTGGCCTGTGTTTTCATTTTATAATTTAAAAGCTCAGGCGATCTTCATATTATGAGCTGGTTTTATTGAGTTTAGTTAGGCCCATATCCTAAAAACTTGAGATATTTTTTTTTAATTTTTGAATGCAAGAAAGTTCTGACAAACTAGGAGGCCCAGATTTATGGCAATATGCAATGTTTGTTATATATCTACATTCATTCTTCTCTCTGCTTTTTGCCTCTTGCTGCGCCATGAATCTCGTCAACATGTATTTTCTCAGAGACAGGGGTTTTAGAAATACTTGTTGCGCATGCCTAGTTCTTTTCCCAGCCATTATTTTGGTTGTATGCCGCATTTTGTCTGTTTTGGTGCTTTCCATTTTTCTTTCCTTTTGTGAGTTGTTTCTACGAAAAGAACTATGGCTATGATATTGTTTGTAATTTAGCTTAGTTTGATGAAAGAGCCTTAATCATGGTCTACTCAGTAGCCCAAACATTAAGGATTTATGTTATCTTATTTATCCTTTTGTGCTGTGTGCAGCGTCTTGCAGCATCAGTAAGAATGGTGGCAAAAGGTGTTCTCAGGGAGCATCTAATTCTCTTAGCAAGTAGTATGACTTGTGGTGGAAATTTGGTTGGTTTTAATATAGGTGGTTATAAAACACTGGCTCGTCAATTAAATATTCAAGTACCATTCACCGATGCAACACTCTTTGTAAGTGCCTTGGTAATTTTTAATCTACAAGATGTAATTTGTGATTACTTTTCTTACTCTGTCAATGTTTTCTTGCAGACTCCTAAAAAATGCTTTGAAAGAGCCGCTGAGAAACACCATGCAGACTCTTTGTCAAGCATTGTTGCCTCCTGTTCCTGGGGTAAACACGTGGCAGTTGGTACAGGATCAAGATTTGATATTGTATGGGACCCCAAAGAGGTATTAGATTATACTCGGTTTAATACTGGTCTTGGTTATGTCTAGAGCAAGTTCTGTGGTCATTGTTGTAAATTTTAATGTTGGAATTTTCTTTTGCAGACCAAAACTAACGAGATTGAAGGGATGGATGTCTACAAATTTCTTCACATGGTCAAAGGTCTTGCCAATGGGGAGGAAGAAAACAATGCTTGTTTGGGTGAAGACATTGATGATTTGCCTGATGATGAAAATGTGGACTGGGATATGTCCCCACCGCATACCTCTGGATTTGATGCTGTCTTTGATGAGACTTTTGAATTAGTGAATGGCTCAGTATCAAATGGTTGGGATTCAAGTAGAGACCAGATTGATCAGATCAAAACAAACACGAATGATTGGTCTGGTTGGGGGCAAAATAAATCTGAAATACAAGTTGATGGGGCTGAAAAAAACCAATGGAACTCTGGAACTAATCAAGAAGATGCGTCAAAGTCCAGTGCTTGGGGGGCAGGTACAAATCAAGAAGACTCTTCAAAGTCTAATGCTTGGGGGGGCGGCACAAATCAAAAGAGTGATCAATCTTCTTGGGGTAAAAGTAAATCTGGAGTACAAGATGATGGAGCGTCAAAGTCCAGTGCTTGGGGGGCAGGTACAAATCAAGAAGACTCTTCAAAGTCTAGTGCTTGGGGTGCCGGCACAAATCAAAAGAGTGATCAGTCTTCTTGGGGCAAAAGTAAATCTGGAGTACAAGATGATGTAGCAGAAAAGGCCAAATGGGAGTCTGGGAACTCTCAAAAGTGGAAAGCTGATGTTATCCAAGAAGACTCTACAAAATCTGGTGCTTGGGGGGCCAACACAAATCAAAATCAAAATAGTGATCAGTCTTCTTGGGGTAAGAAGAAATCTGGAATAGAAGATGATGGAGCAGAAAAGGCCAAATGGGAGTCTGGGAACTCTCAAAAGTGGAAAGCTGATGTTATCCAAGAAGACTCTTCAAGATCTGGTGCTTGGGGGGCCAACACAAATCAGAATCAAAATAGTGATCAGTCTTCTTGGGGTAAGAAGAAATCTGGAATAGAAAATGAAGCAGAAAAGGCCAAATGGGAGTCTGGGAACTCTCAAAAGTGGAAAGCTGATGTTATCCAAGAAGACTCTTCAAGATCTGGTGCTTGGGGGGCCAACACAAATCAAAATCAAAATAGTGATCAGTCTTCTTGGGGTAAGAAGAAATCTGGAATAGAAGATGATGGAGCAGAAAAGGCCAGATTGGAGTCTGGGAACTCTCAAAAGTGGAAAGCTGATGTTATCCAAGAAGACTCTTCAAGATCTGGTGCTTGGGGGGCCAACACAAATCAAAATCAAAATAGCGATCAGTCTTCTTGGGGTAAGAAGAAATCTGGAATAGAAGATGATGGAGCAGAAAAGGCCAAATGGGAGTCTGGGAACTCTCAAAAGTGGAAAGCTGATGTTATCCAAGAAGACTCTTCAAGATCTGGTGCTTGGGGGGCCAACACAAATCAAAATCAAAATAGTGATCAGTCTTCTTGGGGTAAGAAGAAATCTGGAATAGAAGATGATGGAGCAGAAAAGGCCAAATGGGAGTCTGGGAACTCTCAAAAGTGGAAAGCTGATGTTATCCAAGAAGACTCTTCAAGATCTGGTGCTTGGGGGGCCAACACAAATCAAACCAATGATCAGTCCTCTTGGGGGAGAAATATATCTGGAGTGCAAGATGGTGGAGAGGGAATGGCCCAAGGAGAATCTGGGGGCATACAAAAAGACTCGTCAAACTCAGGTGGTTGGAAAACTTGGAGGAAAAGTAAACCTGAAGACTCTTCAAACTGTAGTGCTTGGGGTGCAAACAAAGATGCAACAAAACCCAAGTCGAATGACATGTCCTCATGGAGAATGAAAAAAGATGAAGCACATGTTATGCCAGAAGACTCTTCTAATGCCTGGGAACATAAGGATGACAATGTAAAAGACAGTTGGGATGCTAAAGTCCCTGTTGCCATTAGCTTCTGGGGAAAACCCAAATCCCCAGAAAAGCAACCTTGGGATTCCAAGAACCAGTCAAATAGCTCATGGGGAAAGCCCCAATCACAAGAAACCCAACCTTGGAATTCCAAGAATGAGTCAAATCAAGCTGCAAGCTCACGTGGATGGGACTCGCAAGCTGCTAATGCTAACTCTGAAAATGACAGAAGTTTTCAGTGGGGTAAACAAGGAAGAGAGTCATTTAAAAAAAATCACTTTGAAGGTTCACAAGGTTCACAAGGTTGGGGTCCAAATGCCGGGGACTGGAAAAATAAGCCTCGCCCTGCCAGACCACCTGGACAAAGGTTTGAATTATACTCTTCTGAGGAGCAGGATGTTCTCAAGGATATTGAACCTATTGTGCAATCAATCCGAAGAATCATGCAACATCAAGGGTAAGTTTTCCAAGGCAGTTAGTTGTCAGTGGGTGCAGTTATGGGTTATGGTTGATTATTGTTTTTAACTTTTAGACGTATTGTCTTTGCAACTTCTCTTTACCCATTGTCTTCTAAAAAGCTGCTGCACTTTTATCTTATTTTTCTGATTATAAATTCCTGTGTGAAGGTACAATGATGGGGATCCGCTACCTGCCGATGACCAAAAATATGTGCTTGAGAATGTCTTTGAACATCATCCAGATAAAGAAACGAAAATGGGTGGTGGAATCGATCATGTTATGGTATCCTCTAATTCTATATCCTGGCCTTTTAGCTTCTATCAATTGTTATAATATGCTTCATCATATAAATTAGTTTCTTTTCAAAGCTTGAAGGTCGGATGATGGTATAGTTTGGTTTCTGTTGACTCAAAATCTGTTTATGTTTCAGTTTATGCTGTACATATCGTGTCTTCATTTGTCCATTTCTATATTTTCTATTTAATGCTGGGAGGACCTTTGGTGCTTGTGGTGACAGGTGAGCAGACACGGCACTTTTCAGGACAGCAGATGCTTGCATGTGGTTTTAAAAGATGGTAAAAAAGAAGACTTCTCGTACCGCAAGTGCCTGGAAAACTTAGTTAGGAAGAAATATCCAGACACTGCTGAATCTTTCTGCGGCAAATATTTCAAAAAACCCCAACCCCCCCCTGTAAAGAGGGACTTGACTCCAAATCCAACAGGGGAGCAGCCTGCAACTCCAAACCGAGCAGGGGAGCAGACCTCAATTCCGACTCCAGCAGTGGAACAGCCTGCAACTCTCTAAACCCAGCAGGGGAGCAGACTTCAATGCCGACTCCAGCCGGTGACCAGACCTCAACTCCAATGCCTACAGAGACCAATGAGTAGAGTTGAGAGTTCGTGTCCTTAATTTTGTACAGAAACAACTCAGTTTAGGCAAGTTTCACCACCGACCAGTATTCCTGTAGGAAAGGTTTCCTATTTTGTTTAGTCTCAGCATCAGTTATTTTGTTTTATCCCGTGATTTATGATGATAAAACAAATGGAAATGTTTATATTTCAAAATTGTGAGATGATAGCTCGTAATATGCCTGCCAAGCACATGCCCTTCATTTTATCTAACCCACACACCAGAATGGAAATCTGATTTGTTTTGTTATTCTGTGAATAGGTTATCTAGCATTTTAAATTCATCTGTACAGTGAGTGGTAGATTATTTGGTTATATTTTTCTCCTTTGTCTCATCTGTGCAATACACAGGTGTATGTCTATTGCCATTTTATTGCTTGTTTGTAACTATTGCTTAGGCTTATGCAATTGTGTATTCATTTTTGGCTTATGCAATTGTGTATTCATTTTTGGCTTATGCTAAGAACCTTGGATCATGATACCATGTTAAAATTCACGAACACCATTGTTGCTTACAAGCTAGAGGCAATTGCATTTCATTAACTTAGTTTCAATTACAAGAGAGAACTTGCGTTGTATATTAGGGTTCTAATAAGAGACTTGTAACTAACTTTGCCATATCAGTATAGTTAGTAGTTCCAAGACCTCTAGTTTCCCTAACTAATTATGTATGTCAGTAACGACATAATCACAAGAGTGATGTCACCATTTAAGCTATGGTGTACTCTTGCTTGCAGAGTGTTCTTTATATTTTCCCATTACTATAGAAGCACAGGATTGACATGGACAATTACAATACCATGTGTTAACCACTTCAAAGACAGAAATTTAAACACTTCAATTTGAGAGTTTATTGAATAACGCCTAAGTGGAATCTTTATACACTTGGCAATATGAAGTAAATGATTATTGGTTCACCAAATAATGTGGTGTGCTTTTGGCTATCAGGCAAATTAAACAAATTTAAACTATTACAAGTTCTATTAATATTTATTATTTTCTTTATTTTTTTTCTTATTGATGTAAAGTGTATTTTTGTTTTAAAAAAAAGAAAGATGGAAAATATGTGTTTTTTTTATTAAAAAAAATAAATAATAATAGTTTCATAGTTTTGGTTGAAAAGTATAGAAATTTTTTTAATATTCAATCTCCGTGGGGACTTGTGGAGATGGAGATAGAGGAAAATATTCCTCCGTGGTGGGGATTCCTCCGTGGTGGGGATGAGGATGGGGAATAATATTAGGGATGAGACAGGGAGCGGGGAAACATCCACCGAATATTCTCTGTCCTGTTGACTTTTCTAGATAGTTGCTATATGAGATGACGCATGAGTTCAAGGCAATTTGGAGGAGCTATCTAATATAATGCCTAAGTGTTGCCTATTTTTTTATATAATTTATTTAAATAATAATAACAATTAATTAACAAAAAATGTATAATATTAATTTAATATAACCATTACATTTGGGGAATTAAAATTAACTATAATATAATTGTCCGGTCGTTAATAATGGTCGTTGGTTCCGTACTGCGGTGTTATTCTAATTCGTTGTCCCCTAATCCTTTGAGGTTATTTGGATCGAGGGCCCTGAGAGGTCAATGCGACCAGGGTCTATGAAATCCGCGAGCTCATCAAATAGTTTCGAAGACCTACTATCCAAAAGTCGGTTGCCTATGTTTTCAAAGCTTGATCGTGGTGGTAGGGGTATGGGTTGGATGAGTGGTCCATAGTACTGGTCAGTTGAATTGGGAGGGTCAAAAGGAAATATTTTTTGTGGAGTTTGGTAATTATATGTTTGTTGGGTGCTACAGTGATTTGGTGTTTGTAGGTATGTTGGGTTGTTTGGATCATATTCATCATGTAAGCACAAGTCAGGGCTACGGTGAGATTTGGAAGGGTCCACATCGGGTTGTTGGTTGTATGGTCTTTGTTCTTGGTATTGTATTTGCGTGTGTGGCATGTATTAGTCTTGATATCGGTCTTGAGGTTGGGGTTAAGTGTTTGGGGATCAGTAATGTCGTTGTGTTGGTTGAGTGATAGATGTGTGTTGGTTTTGTTGTAGGGTGGTGTGTGTGTTTGTAATGTTGTTGGGCATTTGATGATGATGCAACTCGTGTGCGTGGGTCGATTAAATACCTCGGGTGAGACACAAATTAATGAGACGTAGTAACCGATTTGTACCAACTCATATAATCTTCATTGTGTTTCATTTTGTAGGTATAGGGCGCGACAGAGAATTGTAGGACATATTGACGACGCCTCTTCCACATCCGACATCATTCAAGAGTGTATTTTTCCCATCATATAGGGGTTGCATTCTGCAAACCTTTTATTCAAAAAGATGGAACATGGTTGTATGAGAAATATAAAGAAAAACTACTCATGGTTGTCGAACAAGATGACAACAATAACATTTTTTCAATTACCTTCGCTCTGGTCGAATGAGAGATTAGTGGTGGTTGGAGTTTCTTTTACAAGAATCTCCGAACACAAGTTGCTTTATAATCTGGTCTCTATTTAATTTCCGACAGACATGCTTCTATTGAGAGTGCATACAACAATCCTGCTAACGGTTGACACGACCCCCCTTTTACGCATGTCTAATGCATTAGACATATTACACAAAATTTCAGACGCGAGATCAAAGACAAGATTTTTTGAGAAACTCCTGTGAACGCAGGGTATGCATTAAATCAACCATCATTCCAACACCATCGCAACGAGATCAGATTGTCAAATCGGGATGCAGGGAGGTGGGTTGATAACATTCCAGTGGAGAAGTGAATAATGGTATTTGAAAATGAACAACAATGGGGGCACATGATAACAAATCTTGCAGAATCAATGAACAGTGTCTTCAAAGACATAAGAAACCTACCCATAACCGCTTTTGTGAGATCAACTTATTTTAGGATGACTTCGTTGTTCGTGAAAAGAGGTGAAAAATGGAGTGTAGTGTTACAATCAGGACGGTTGTTCAATGAAAGCTGCATCAAATTTATAAAGGAAGAAACTTCCAAATTCAACATCCATCAGGTTACAAGATTCGACCGTCATAACCACAAATTTAGTGTCAAAGAGACAACTGACAACATCAAGGGGCTGCTAAGACAAAACTATAGGGTCTTACTACCATCTCGTTGGTGCGACTGCAGAAAGTTTAAAGCCTTATATATGCCTTGCTCCTATGCCATTGCGACATGTTCATATGCTCACTGAGATGAATTAACACTGCTATCTTTCGTTTACAAGGTCGAAAACTTGTTCGGCGTATACAACAATGGCTTTGTAGTGATAGAAAAAGAGGATTATTGGCCAGCGTATGAAGGAGGAATAGTTTGGCACAATGAAAAAATGCGAAGGAAAAAAAGGGTTGCCCCAACAACACGCGTATTAGAATCGAAATGGATACGACTGACAGGCTAGAAAGAAAGGGTAGTTTATGTGTTCAGGTCAGACACACACGAAAATATTATCCCACTCGTGCAACAAGCTCCACAACATAATTCTTGTATGCACTCTTTGTAATTTATTTTTAGAAATAAACTGAATTTTTTTATTCATTAAGCAGATTGATTACAACAAACCGAAGACAAACAGACTAAAACAACAAAACAAACAACGGATAAAATTACTTAACATGAAAAAATATCTAAGAAATTACAACTGTCAAAACAATATCATCTGATCCATGCATCATAGTTATTATATCCATGCAATTTTTAACTTCATCCCACCAACATTGTGGTTCTCCGGTCGCAAATGAGGTGGCTGTTCTATGTCTCTGAATTCTTCTAATGACTTCACCATCTTGGATCTCTCAGTCCAACCATCAAATCAAGGACCTTTTAAAATGTTCCATGGAATGGGTGTTCTAAAATTTCATTTTAATCAGAGATTTGGTAGCCGAGAAACAAATATACCCATCTTTTTTAAAAATTATGTTAGATGAAATGAAGAAAAAATTAGAGAGAAGTTGAGAAGCGTTGTAAAGAAAGGTGGAGGAGTTGAGGTGTTACATATAGGAAATAAATTTACCCTCATGCGCCACATGAGATGACGTCTTCTTACGAAGCTTACATGCATGCACCATCTCAAATGACGCCTTCTCTTATATTGAAAACAAAACCTGGTTATTTAGGTAAATTATGAGAACACATGATTATTGAGGAAATTTAATTAAAAAGCTTTTATTGCTGAAAAATTTGATTAGAAGTAAATGACTCAAATTTTTTAAAAAATGACATTTAAATTTGAAAAGTTTGAAGTTAAACGAACACAAATTGAAGTACTTTAATTTAAATAATTTTGATAAAAAATATAGAAGTTAAAAATTATTTGAAATTAAATGACAAATAAAAGTAACAGAAGAAATGTAAAATTGAAAATGTTGGTTAAATAAAAGTTTTTGAAAGATTAAATTTGTAAAAATAAGTTTAAGGAATTAAAGACACGTAGACAAAATTTCAGTGTTGAAAAGTTTAATATTCTATATAGTTAGGGAGTAAGGGTGGTAAAAGGAGTGTGATTCGTCAATCTATTCTACGCATCTGTTAAAAAAATAATGGATTGAATTGGAATTTTAGACCAGCCTATCGCCGCAGTCTGCACTGCGCATTCGTCGGCTCGGTCCACAGGCCTCAACCTATTTTATCACCCCTAATATATGAGTTGTTAAGGCAAAAACGTTATTTATGATTCATTCAGTAATATTATTTCGTGTATAATTTTATTTTGAAGTTAACGATTATATCATATTAGTTTTTTATTTCATGTATAGTCAAAACTGAAATAAGTTCTCAATTATATCATGTGTATATTTATAATTTGTAAAGTGTATCATTCAAGACTATTCTTTTTCCTGCATATCATTCAAGAAAGTTATATTTTGAAGTACAATTTAATTAACAAGCATGCTAATTTTATTATTATAATATTATTAAAATTGCTATATTTTGATGCAATCATCACTCTAATC